GTGCAGGTCGCTCTCTCGAACGATACTGCCCGTATAGCTTTCAGTTACAGCCAACTGATCCCTCGCGACTAGTACAACGTTTTCAATGAATGAGAGAATTTGCCTTTCTGGAAAATGATATGCACTCTCGTATTTTGCCCTGTACCTCAATCCTTTTCATTGTATACTCGATGACACACGCGCGATGGGCTTATAACAAGAGGCGAATTCAAGCAATGCTTCATACAGTGGACCCCTGTCTTTTGTATCCCCGCCTACGGAGCATAAAGCATCCCAATTACATGACGCTAACATGCTTCAAATGTGCTTCTGCAAGACTTCCAACTCTGGAAATCTTGCGATTGCGTTGGAAACGGTTGCCAAAACGTCGTATCAAGTTGCTTCCACCGAACGAAAAGGAACACTACAATATAAGCTTTGGTCTACGTTGCTATGTGTACTTTGCTCATCCACTTTTAACGTTTCGATTTTCAAGAAGTTGATCCAACAAACTGTCCGACATCACGGCGGGCAATCTCTTTCCTGAATAAATGAGTGAACAGAGGCGGTTCACTATTTTCACTGTTGTTCCGTGTAGAAATTCCGCACACGGTCCCGCCATTCTTCTTTTTATACTGACTAATATCATTTGATCGATGCCACCAACTAATGAAGCATTACTCGGGAAGATGTATTCTTCCACATGCAAAGATGTGAAGCGGAAGCGGGACCTATCGAGACTCACGAACCCGATGGATTCCGCCTCCGTCATACTCCAATCTTACATGTTACGGCTAGCATACCACATTCTCGCTCTTCATTCCCGTGAGCTGCATAAGTGGATCCCTCAGGGATCCATGGTACGAACATCGGCCAGACCTAGAAAGCGATATCTATCGAAGGAGATGCAAGTATTCGTCGTTGTACTGTACATCAGCACCCACCCTCCTATACACCATCCTTGAAGAACTTCTTTATCTTGAACGCCGCTCCATTCTTGGTGATCCTGTGGGTTTGGAGAGTGCCGTCGTACCCGCACCTATGCCTTGATGGAAGAAGAATACAGATATGCGATGGGCCAAAAGCCAGGCCTTCTTGCCGACCGGAAACCCAACGCTGCACAATTGCGATACTTCACCTCTGCAATCCTGTATATATAACCACCTCTCTCCACACCAGGGATCTCCTCGTATCCATCCTCCACACAACTTCCCATCCACGCTCACCACGGAAGAGCCAGCACCTATCCAATTTCGCAACCGAACACCGACTCCCTACCACCTACAATGATCAAGCCAACGCTCTTCCTCGCCGTTCTGGGCCTCATCGTCGCCTCCGTCTTCGCCGCAGACACCCCAACTGCGGCACGTGCGGTGCCGTACTACCCACGTCACCGCCCGAGATGCCCCTGCCGCTGCATCCTGGGATACTACGCTGAACAGAGGGCCACCCGGATGTGCAAGCGTCGCCGGTTCCTGTACAGCTGCTCGGTGCAGGACTGCACCAAGCACTACCGCCCCGGAAAGACTTGCTGTGATGTTCACAAGCCATCAGTTACGCCCACGCCTACCCCATCAGTTACGCCCACGCCTACCCCATCAGTTACGCCCACGCCTACCCCATCAGTTACGCCCACTCCTTCGCCCAAACCGAAGTGCCCTTGCGTCTGCACGCGCAAGGGAGCTGCCCGCCGCGACTGCCACTACAAGCCGTACTGCGAGGTCACACGGTGCCCGGAGGATCACAGTAATGATCACCATACCCACCCCTATGGCCAGTACTACAAGCCGAGGCCGAAGTTCCAATGCTGCTACAAGCCGCACTATTAGGCCATGAGCGGGTCCCCGTCTCGCGTTGGGCGTTGAATGCTGGTAAGAGGTGAGAAAATGAGTGTGGCTCAGTAGTGGCCTCCTCAGTCAAACGGCACAAGGTCGCCCCTGGACACATATACTCTGCCCCATATTGTCTGTAGTTCAGTTCCATCTTACTGCTAGTAAACTGAGCAGTTCATGATTTGATTAGAGCAAGGGTTGTATTGAGCAGGAGTATAGGATGTGACACACATAGCCCAATACGCAGCGCCGTCAGTCCTTGCCTCATCGGGTGGTTGCGCCAAGCTTCCTCGGTTTGCAAGTTAAGGAAGAAGAGTTTTTCTGCTTGATAGCATGTGGAGCGCGAGTAGCTTTTAGAGTAAACCTCATGTGCCTTTCGAAGAACACCCGAGGCCCAGCTTGTAAAGTTAACCTCTCAGTATTGTGATGGTACCCATACACGTGGACACATACCACACATAATACACGTACCACGATCCACCGACGACGGAGTGAGACCGCTAGACTTAGTGTAGAGGAAGACAGATCACGAGTAAAGACGAGGCTATCGTTCCTGCACCACAAGTGGGTGCAGTGGGTGCATCCAGAAAATAGCACTCTATCAAGCAGAAACCAGCCTGTTAAGACACTCAAACGGGGCATGTTAAGACACACCCTGAAAAACGGGGCATGTTAAGACACACCAAAGCAAACTGCACCCTGAGGGTGTGTCTTAACATGCCCCGTTTTTCTGCAGTTTGCTTTGCTTTGCCCAAAGAGGTGATTTGGCGTGCTATGAGTGGCTCCTACGTTTTAATTTATGTGTTTAAGAAAAGCAAGGGCTTAAGAAGCATTCGGTATTTGTTAAGAATTTAAAAGTATTCCTGGCAAAACCGGGCAAGGCAAAGCAAAAACCAGCCTGTTATGACACGCCCTGAGGGCGTGTGGGTCCATCCAGAAATTGCCAGATTACCACTTTACCACTTTTTGGCCAATCGTCGCTCAGAAAATCTGGCGGACAGCCGCCACTTCAATTAGAAGAAGTGGTGCCGCTCTCGTGGGGTGGGATCACTTCGCCAAATCCCCTGAACAAATACTGTATGTTCAATATTTGAGAGAGAGCCTGAAATATAAGGGCAGAGAAAAAACAGGCAAGTGCATCTACATTACAGTAACGTACAGAAGTGTACGTACAGTAGGTTGCTAATTTCTTCAAAATCACTCCAAAATTCACTGTCAAGCGGGCACATGCCCTAAAATAGCTGTGGGCCATTGAATGTACTGCTGTGACAGATCCAAGTGAAACCTATTACACGTCGTACAACATGCGTCACCTGCCACCGACATTGATTGCCACCGGCATGGATACCGAACGGGCGGAGAACCGACAGAGAAATGCAAAGCTACAGAAAGATGAAGTCGAAGACTTCGGAGTGTCGAGCAGTGGCTACACGATCACTCAGCACTACGCACCCATTGCAATTAGTACGTAGACTAGTGCAAGAAGTTATCAGCAACGGCCATGATAGAGAGAGCGAGCATCAGAGGGGCGGCGAGAAACCCAGGCAGAGCTACATAAGCTAGCACGGTAGACTAGATGATAGAAAGCAAGAGTGGATTGAGGGCGACAGCGAGAGAGCAAGAGAAAACAGCAACAACGGGATGACTGCGTCACCCGGAGCACTTGTGCTCATTTATCGTGTTCGTAGAGTAGCGCTTCACCATTCGCCTGCAACCCCCCCCCCCCCCCCCCCCCCCCCCCCCCCCAGTACACCGATGACAAACCAGGTTGCTACAACTGCACATATTCGCAACGCCAAGAGTGGAAGCATACCTTTCCCGCCCCCTCTGCGAGAAGACCAAGAACGACGAACAACGACAAACAAAGACTAACAACAACAAGAGAGATAGAGATTCGGAGAGAGAGATATGGAGAAGACCAAGCTCCGCTTTGCCACCGCCGCCTACTCGAATCCGAAGAGCACCCCCCATTCCCAAACACCATGGCTGATCCGTACAGTATCTTGGGCCTCACCGGCCCGGCTGAGCAAGCCGTCCGCCTCATCGCAAGTCTCATCGAAAGACATAAAGCCTACAAGGAAAACAAGACGCTCTCTACCGAAATGCTCACCGCCTACACCATCTTGCAGGCAGACATCACGGCGCTGAAAGACAGGCCGATCCATGGAACGTCGTCGCAGCACACGAGCTTGCTCCAACGTGAAATCGAGGACATCTCAAGCTTCATATTGAAGTCCTTCGCTGAGCTGCGGAAAGAGTCGGACGACCCAAAAGCGAGACTCGGTGCGTTCGCGTCTGCAGTGGGAGATAGAGAAGTCCTAGAGAAGCGCAAACAAGAAGCGGCCCGCCTTCACAACCGTATTGTACAAGCGAGCACAGGCATCGATACTCGCTCGGCCGTCGAGTCGATCAGACGAGGTACGGGTGATATATTCAGGGTGTCAATAAGAGCCGAACACAATCCTGCGTCGATATATGTAAAGCTTGATTCTTGTAGGAGCGATGGCCTACCGAACACGTGTGAGGCGCGGCTAAAAGCAGCTGTGCTACGGAGAGATAGGAACAAGCAAGTGGGTGCGACAGCAGTGGGACAAGGCGGAGTCGGGAAGACATGTGCTCTACGAGCGATCGCGCACGATGTTGAGATTATGGCAGAGTTTTCTAGAGGAGTGTACTTCATGTCGTTGGGGAAAGACGGAAACGTGGGACGGCTGATTGAAGAACTGTGTCTAATTGTGGACGCGTCTGGTGGCAAGCAGACGGCTGTGGAAATGCGAGAGCAGAGCGAGTTTGAAAGGGTGTTAGCGAGGGTACAAGCTTGGTTTTGTAGTCATGTGTGTTTGTTCATCATTGATGATGTGTGGGTGGTGAATGATATAGACGCGAATCCTTTGTGATGCAAGATCGATGCTCTGGTTTACTGGGGTCGCGTGTCTATCTACCTTACAGCCGCGATTTCATTAAATCATGTTTTTGCGCGCAATTGCGCGCAAAAACTGCCAGATAATGCTGCAAAATGAAAAAATCACCACTTCGGCCTTCTTCAGGCGACCCACCAATAATCGCGATCAACCATCCAAATCGAGATCCCCCATGCCTTCCTAGGGTCCCTGTAGCCCATCTCCATCATGGAGATGTAACGTGTAAGTCGTGGCTACCATTGTCCAAAGTCGTTTCTTCATGAAGAATCATGAAGTTTCTCAGTTTCTGCATGAATAAACAAGCAAAAAGCAAAAATGAAAAAACAACCCGAAATCGCGGCCTTACAGTATGTAGGGATGGTGGCGATCCGTAGGCCGGCGGCGATCGTGGTGAGTTGATCGCTGTTGTACGTGTGCAACGTGTGTGTATATGGCTCTCATAACATCCTTCAAAAGTTGTCTGTTCTGGCTGAGGGCCTCCTTTAAGACAGCATGGACGGGCATGTGTGGACATGCATGGACGTCGGCCTGCACCTGATTGGTCTATATAATACTTTTCTTAACAGTATGATGGCGCACACAATGTTAAAATAATAGCTTCCATCACTACCGACGTGCCATGCAAAACAAAATCATTGGCTATCGCCACTGGATAAGTGTGAATGAATTCAATGTAGATCCAATTTTGCACATATCGAATTCAGTTTAATCATTTTATTGATGCTCCCAAATGCCACTATATTTGAAAAACGGCGGGAGACTGGCATCCGAAGGAGATGCAATTCGTATCCCAACAGCACCCACCCAGAACCCAACCTACCGCGGCCTGCCCTACCAACTCCTCGCTCCCTTCGCTTTCCGATCCCCATCACAATGACCACACAAAAGTCCCCCCTCATTCTCCGTCGCAGTCCTCGTTTCCTTAGACCATGTCCCTCGTCTCCGCCATCTCCAAACGCCCAAACTATGCGCGTGCTGCAGTTTACGCACAGATCAGAGCAAGAATCTTTTCCTCGCTCCGCACATAGTCCTGTCGATGGCTCCCAAAATAATTCGCCAATGGAGCCATTGGCAGGTGCTCGCGTTCTCTCAGTTGACCAGCGAGCAGCTGGTGAGTTCAGAGCCTCGAAAGCCGATGATAAGTGCGCGGCATTCTCTTTTTTGTCAAGCCTAAATGTCAAGCAACTAAGGGTCATATTGAAGGAATGGAGGTGGAAACAATCAGGTAACAAGGGCACCCTCGTCGCTCGAGCTTTTCTACAGTTACAAATTTTTACTTTATCTGGACGAACAATTTGTGCTGCAATGTCTTCGATCCCAGAAACGGCCAGATTCGAGTCTTGGCTTCAGCAGCGTGTGACACTCGACCTGCGTTCTCCGCTCTACTTTTCCCGTGTTCCCGCCGATGCCGAGCTATTCAAGCTTTTGGAAGCGAAAGAGGTTGAAACGTTCAAGAGAAAAAAAGGAAACTTGGAGGAAGCAAGACAAAATGGGGATCAAGTTGTGAGAAGTGAAGATCACGGTAGAGAAGAATTGGACGAGACAAGTGGCAGTCAGAGAGAGGCTGGTCCGGTTAGCGGATTGGGCACGTTTAGCATCAGCGAATTCGCTCGCCTATGCGTCATCATGCGGGATGATGAAGACGCGAAATGCGCCCTGGATGGGACAGGGCAGGAGCTGACAAGGAGTCAGCTGGATGCGGGTTTTACGAGAGACTCATACTGGGGTGTTATAGAAGAGCGCTTTAACAATCCTAATTTGCGCCTTCATCTCAACATGGTTGGGAATGTCGACGAGGTAGACTCTAAGGTGGCACCGCCTTGTCATCGGTCGGCTACATTTTTGAAAGAAAAATTTCTGGATGCACGGAGGTCCTTCACGACGTGTGTGGAAAATTGGTCAAGGTCTGGACAAAACAACACCGGGAATTTTAAAAGTTACGCAGGGACTCGGGGGGGGAGTTGACCGCGGAAGGGAAGCGGAATGTAGTTCTTTTTGTCTGCGCACGGAAAGGAACGGAAAATGAGGACACCCGGTTTGCGAATTTGTGCACGAGGGTGATCCCATTCGATAGGGGATGTGACGAGGGTGGCAGTCAGGGAACCAGCGGGATGTCGGGACGGGGAAATCGCAGGAGTTTTAATCGGGGGGAGAATTTGTTTGAGCACTCGTGGAGGACCTATTCCGAAGCAGCAGTTGCGGAAAAGCGAGCGAAGGCCGCTGAACGAAAAGAGAAGGCGTTTAAAAAAAGGAAGACCGAGATAGAAAATTCGAGAATGCAGCAATTACATCAGCGCCAATGGTGTGTTGTGTCCATGGGAAACCTTTACAAGACTTTAAAAGCCCAGGGATTGGACCCAGATGAGTCTTTTGAGGAGTGCGCAAAACTCCAAATGGAGGAGTTAAAAAAGGCGTTTTTAATGCCGCAGTCCCGACCCATGGGCAATCTTTGCAATGGGCGGCGGTCTGACGGGGACATGGTTCAGAACCCACCTTTTGT